TAAAAATTTTGAAGAAAAAACAATTAAAGCAAAAAAACAAATTTTGAAAACAGAAAAAATATATATTTAGTTATAATCAGTTTTATGACATTCTTCATATAACATAAAAAAATGCATAAAACATTTGTGTAAATATTATTAGAGCAATCAATACATTAAAACAAAACATACTAACTTTGCCATAAAATAATTTTTAAATAAAGCAGCATAAAGTTTGAACAATATGCACATTCTAAAAAACGCAAAACATACACAAAAATCCATGTAAAAATATATTTAAATATGCAAAGCTGGAAATGACATTCCCAAAGTTATGTTAAATAAGAAACAAAATTAAATAAATGTGTGCTAATAATTTAAAATAATAATTAATAATTTGTGAGCAACTAGCAGTCTCTATGAAATTAATCAAATAAATTTATTATTAAGTATTTACGTATGTGTCATTTAGCAAATTAAAAATACTTAGCTAAGGTATTCGATTACACGTTAAAAAATAAATAAGTGTTAACTAAGCCAATTATATTATATTAACAAAATCTATTTAAATGTCAGTTTCGTATTGGCGCGCTCACCATTTATATAAAGACTATACATTTTTCATCAAAAACCTATAAATTCTTATAAAAATATGTCATATTCAAAAAACGCAAACAACAAAAGACGCATGCCAGTTTTGTAAATTATTTTCCAAACAAAAACATCAAAATATGTATGTATATTTTTAAAACACCATAAATTATTTTACTAAACAGCTTCCTCAAAACTCTCACCGCCGCAAAACCTCCAATAGAACACCACTCCTTATATATGTATATGTTAAATCATAAGATTTCAGATATTTATAAACCATAAAAAATAGAAATGGTATTAAATAAAATAAAATGTTTAAGAAATTCAATGAAAAACATTACAACTAAAGTGTTTCATTTAAAATTTTGGAGGTTATGCGCTAAAAATGTTGTGAAGCAATAATATTGTTTCGCAGTGCTCATAATTAGTGCCACCACTGTARTCGCTAGCAGTGTGCGTGCGCGTCCTAGCCACAAACCTCGCACCTGAAATCTCACGTAAGTACTAGGCCACCAGCGAGCATAAGCAAGCAACTGCAGAGTGCTGAGCAATTCACGTTTCTTCCTTTCCATATATATTCACACTTACGTCCCACAACACACTAACAAATATCAATGAAATACACGCATTGCACTTTCAGTGGCAGCATGGATTGCTGTTTCTGTTCACCTATTACATTTCACCCGGAATTTTACTAAATTTAAATGATTTTTCAAGCAACCAGCCCAGAGCGAGCAGGAAGAAAAAATTTTCAAGGACACAGAAATCACGCMTGTGCAAATAAAATTTCTGTTGAATTATCAGGTGCCCAGTTCGTATATGAAAGCAACTGTGCAAACGTGAGCAATCGTCATTTCTCTCTCTCTGTTTTCTCACGTTCGCTTACTTAGTTGTGTTCCACAACACGTGAGCTTAWTTACTTACATCAATCAACCAATCACTGCGTCCTTGCCAACAACTTACATTTACATAGAGCTTCCATACAAACAACAAGCGTTCATATCGATCATCCAATCAGTGACATTAGTCATACATTTTGCTCAAGCCAACTGCTTTTTCTGATATCCTATTAGCATTAACACGTCCATGTTGCCGATTTTGATATTGTTTACACGGACAGACAAAAAAAAAATATTTGTCGAACGCTCGAATTCATACGAATATTYTCGCACAGCAGCAGGCACGCAGCGAGCATGCGAAGGCAAACAGGCAACGACATTTCTTTGTTGCTTTACCTATGCTTCCTCTAATATATACTTAAAATATTATATTAATGGTTGAAAGCACAATAATGCGTATCGATCCACCAATCACAACTGCATATGATTTGCCGAAACTGCAGTGAGGTGTCATTATCGCTGATGCTTGCTTGCTACTTTTGAGTTCCTAGTAGTTCTAAGCAAATTTGTGGCTTTGCTCAAAATCACAGCGCCTCCGCAGTAGCTGCACCGCAAGCAGCATGGCAGTGAGGCTTAAATTTTCAATAATGCTTCTGGAAATATATTAGGCGAACAGAATTTATGGTAGATGACGTACTACTATGCATTACGAAAATTCCCTCACATATCCTTCGCAGCAGCACTGCATATTGTTTTGGTGTGCAGATTGTTGGTAGTTTACCCACGCGCAGAAGGCRTATGAAAATGTAAACAAAAGAGAATGCGATCATGCTCATTTATTTACACCAACAAACAGCATGTTTGATGTGGATGCTATTTTGCAACAGGACTTTTCGCATTCCGATGTGGCAGAGTTACCGCGTTGTCAATAATAATTAAATATATATTTTTTGTTTTATAATTACTATTTATGTATATACAAAATTGGATGGTTGGGTGTTTTGGGTTGTTTTTGTTTTACTTACCTATCAGTAACGTGGTTGTAATCGCAACAAAAAAATATAATACATACTTCAATCCAATGGATCTATAATTGAATTAAATAAATTAATTTATTATATTAAAATATTTTTCAAAGCTTTTTCGGCCAATGTACATTCTGGCCTTAAATTTTGTTTTATATAAAATCGCATTAATTGTGCTTATTTAAGGCATTTTTGCAAGGCCTTGTTTGATGAGCTGCTTTAGATAAAGTACATTAAAGCACCACTGTGTGCTAAAAAATGATTTTTGAGACATAAAAGCTTTGCTAGGAGTTTGCTAAAGTTCTTTGTATTATGAAACAACACAGTTAGCTTTTTGTAAAGCTTAGATTAYTTACGCAACGAAGCTTTAGCATACCAATGAGCTTTCAATAAAGTTCAGTTTTTCTTTGCATTAAAGCTTTACAATGCAAAGTGCCGATGTGCTTTCATCAAAGCTCTATTTTATTTTTCATTCAAGCTTTATAAAGCTCAACATTTGCAGTGCCCGTTAAAAGTTTTCAAGACCTCAAAAGCTCTTTTTTACCATAATTTTTATAGCAACCATTCATACATATAAAAAAAAATCACATTTGTATTTTATTTCATCAATAAATATTTATTCTCCATTAGTTAGTACTTTGCTATGTATTATATGTAGTTATACATATTGGATTTCTGTTTTTTTGGTATGTATGCGTATTTTTGAAAATTATTTACAACTTTTATGCATATTACTTGATGTTATTCCTACCTTGTTGTAGTCTTAAGGGCTATGAAATAAATACTTTTACGGCTGCTAAAAGCAAACTCATTATGAGTAAAAATACATATATGGAGAATATTGCAATTTCCTAAAAACTAATTAACTTAGTTTTTGAGAAATCAAACAACTAGGCTATATGCTAAAATATCACTAATTGTTAGCTGAATTTTAGATTTTTATAGTAATTGGTGATTTAATATTATTTTTCTCTGGTTTATTCTATAGTCAAAGCTTTTTACAATATTTTTAAGAGTAACTTATTTAAAAATTATTATTAAATAAAATTGACTAGAATCGTTTTTGTGAAGAGTTAGTGAATTTTCGTATACAAAAAATTAAAATCACAAGGCCGCTAATAGTTTAAAAAAATGAAAATAGTTTGGCACTAAAAAAATAAAAAAATAATATTTCTCATTGTCTTCCTTTAGTCTTAATATCTTTGTAATAATTTTTGTATTAAAATGTAATAAGTTGGAAAATTTTGCATTGACTATTTTTTGAAAATATATATTTTTTAAACAAACTAAAATAGTTGTTATTTAACAAAAATTAAAATAGAATATTTTCAATTGACTTTCGTTGGAAAATAATATTTCTAGAAAAATTCTAATAGTTTTTGTATAAAAGTATATTAATTTCGATTTTTTTTTTTCATTGACTTTCTTTACAAAATATGCTTTTTTGACAAATAAAAATCATATTTAGTTAAAAAAATTTAAAATAAGAAATCTTTTCAGTGACTTTCTTTACAAAATAATTTTTCTAGAAAAATTTAAGTAACTTTGGGCTTAAATAAGACATATTTTCATTGACTCTTTCCTTAGAAATATTCAAAGATAATTTATATTATATGCCAAAATTCGTTTAAGTTTATTTTTCTGTGTTTCTAACTCACAAAA